GCATGTAAATTCAAAATAATGTACGTTTATACAGATTCGAGAATAAATTAAATACACACATATAATACAATAATAAACGTATGCTGATATATACTTTTATAATATTTAAGAAAATTGGGTATATTTGGACAGTAATTATTATTTTAAACAATAGACATTTTTGTCTATAAAATTTAATCTTTTTTTTAATATGTAAATATACTTTTGTAAATGTGGTTGTTGAGTGTAGATAAATTAACCAAAATGTACATTTGCATCCAACTTTATCATCCGTCCATAGTATCCGGCCATAATTAAAAATAACTATAATATGGAACCGTCGAATTCTTGAATGCAATAAAAAAACAAAACCAAAAAAAACTCTTATGTTATTACACGCTAGTGTCACGTGACTTGTTGGGTCGTCCTGCATTTGAGATAGTTTTCAAAAAAAGTAATGACACTTCCAAAAATTAATGGCACAATCTATTTTATAAAATACAATTCATTTTCTCGTGTTTACTGATCTGATTCAAAAGCTTTGGATTACACAACATAAATCTTGAGCAATTTATCCACAGACAAAAAAACACATTTGAGAAAAAGTTACTCGCACATTAGAAGTAAATAAAGTAAAATTTAATAAGCATAAAATGTCTATTGTTTTTAAAAATGATAAATATTAAATTTGTCTTTGGGACATATCGAAGTCGATAACTGTTAAATTTATTTTCGTAATCAAAACAGGAATAATTTTTATGAAAATTAATTATATATATATATATATATATATATATATATATATATATAGTTGTTTATACGTTTTTTTATAAATACACTTATTTGAGTAAATGCAGTGTTTGTTTTTTCAATTTTTTTTAAATTGAACATTATTAATTACATTTACCGGGCTGAATGTTCGAGAAATTTCGTTAAAAATATGCTTCGACAGGAATCGAACTTGGATCTCATACGGGACCGTCATTAAAACTTACGTACTGTGAGCGCTCATTTTTATGGCTAAAGGTATATATATATATATATATAGGTGCTGTGGCTAAGCTTTTTTTTATATAATTTCTACAAATGTTTTATATATCTAAGCGCTTTCGGCTATACTTTTAGCCATTATCAATGATTAATTTTATTTTACTTTTAACCGAATATATGGATAGTTTTGTGTATGTAACTAGAGTTATAGGAATGTTTTATGTTTCAAATACGGTCACACGTCGTGGCCGTATTCATGGTTGATATTATTCACTGTTGGCTTCTTTTTTTATTATTAATGTTTCCATTATTTTACGGATAGTGATTCGTAGGTGTCCATGTGTACTTAAATGAGACGTAATTCAGCTTTATTACCATACTAGTTGATAACACAAAAAATAATAGCCTCATCCATATGTAAAAAAAAGGCTAAAAGTAATGGAAGCATTATACATAATATATATATATATATATATATATATATATATATATATATATATATATATATATATATATATATATCGTCGACTCTCCGTCGACGACGTATGAGGGTCAAAGCAGATCAGTTTCCAGGAAACCGACAATAGCACATGAGAATTGTTTATAGTGGTGAAGAATTTTTGCAGGACCATCCGCACTTTTTGAAAGGCCGAATACAGAGACCTGGTACACTACGTGCCACAAGGTCCCCAAACAGGTTTTGAATTCAGAGTTGGCCTTCTCCTAGACCAGTTGCCATCCAAGGCTATAGAACCCAGTCTGTCCTGCCAGGGAGAAGAAGATTCACACCTTTGCCAAGGGTATTAGCACGTAAGTGAATGTAATGGATTCGACTGGAATTCGAACTCAGTTTTCCGATTCCTCAATCCAAGCCGGTATCAATTACTCCACCGTGCCTCCTATCTATCTATATATACGATTGTGTTTAAGCATGAAGCAAACTGTTGCCATAGCGTACTGACTTTATATATATCCCATATATCTATTCAATATATATATATATATATATATATATATATATATATATATATATATATATATATATATATATATATATATATATATATGTGTGTGTGTGTGTTTGTTTTCCACTTTTAAACATTTCTAAAAATAATCGCTGCTAGAGATAAGCAATTGAATCTCTATGTATTGTATTCTTCTAATGACGGAGTAGAAATATTTATTTTCATTGTGAATTTGACAAATAAAAAGCCATTTATATCTTAAAGTATTTTTAACAAAGAATTCATTTTTAGCACACTCTGATGGCATGACTATATATATATATATATATATATATATATATATATATATGCGTATGTCTGTGCGCGTACATGTTTGAGGTAAACAGTGTTTGTAATTAAAGTACTCAATATCTAGAAAAATAGAGCATTAACAGTAACAAATAAAATCCAAATAAAATAAGTAGACAATTAATTTTATTACTAGTTTACAATATGAACCTTTAAGCTAGATCCTGCGAACGGGTAATTTGGACTCCGGCCCAAAACTTAAGGGACCTCTGGTCCAAATTAGAAAACAGTAATGATAATTTTGAAGAAATAACTTGGACTTCCTCAATTCATTTTGTGGAACTTCAAAACCTCATTTTAACTTTGATTCGTGTAATTAATCCAATTTCGGCCCAAATCAGTCTTTGGGCCGAAATTCCATTTCAGACCAAAATTGAATTCTTTAAATCACAAACCCCATATAACTTCAATTGAGTTGAGTTCTTCAAATCATAAACTCTGCGAAAGTTCAAAACCTCACGTCACGAAAACTCCCACTTTATTTTAAATTGAATTTAAATCAGAATTTAAAAAATTTTTAAATTCAGTATAAATAAAAAAATTTGAAATCGCTAAACGTTTTTAGTTATTTTAAAATTTGAATTTTTGACTGTTCATTCCTGATCTGGACACTAATTCCAATGCTGTGTGTTCAACCATCAAATGAAGGGTGGATTTTCAATCTCGGGATCATCTTGATTCCCAAAAAGTATACGGCTATATAGAGCAAGAGTGGCCCAAGTTAGAATGGTTTCAGACACACGGACGGATAGAATTTTCCGTTTATTTAGATTTATACATATATCTGTTTGTTTGCGTATATATATTATATATATATATATATATATATATATATATATATATATATATATATATATATATACTTCATTCGAAGAACTAATTATAGAAATACCGCAGTAATTAGCATATATATATATATATATATATATATACTTCATTCGAAGAACTAATTATAGAAATACCGCAGTAATTAGCATATATATATATATATATATATATATATATATATATATATATACATATGTATATGCGTGTGTGTCTGTCTGTCTGTCTGTGTGTGCGTGTGAGAATGTAGCTTCATCCATTAAATTATGACCCTCCTTCCATAATTGCATCATTTCTTATGAATGTTTCTATAAATTAGACATACTTACATAACAAACAGTATACTCACACCACGTGCTCTAATTATAAGAATTCATGCAAAGACGAAAAAGCACTCCTAATTATGTTCGTACACATCCGCATGCATGTATATGTGTGCTATGTGTGAATGTATACACCCATATCAATTGCCACCAATTATAAAACCCGCTCTTCTTACAGACTTTAATATCGATCGATAAGTAAGAAAGAATTTCCTTTTCCCAATTTTCTATTCGCGCAGCTTCGGTTTTATTTCTACAAAATTATTAATGGCGACCGAGCCGGCGGCGGAAAAACTAAAAAGTCACCAATGAGTGAGTGATGCAGGCGAATTCGATGAGAACGGATGCGTCCAACTGCGCATGCGTCTAGCAATAGATTGCTTCGTGCATAGTCAGCATTTCGTCATCAAAGTCTTCGCAGTTTGAGGCAGGAAAGAAATGCAAAGGAAAAAAGAAAAGAAAAGAAAAGAGAGGAACGAGAAATATTGGAATTTTCTTTATTTTATTTTACGTCATAATTGGAATTAAACATTGATATCACTTTTTTTTTTAAATATATATATATACATATATTTAAGCTGACATAAATATGTATCAATGTACTTGCAAGAAGACATATCAAATGAAACAAGTGTATGTACAGAGAACGACTTTGAAATACATACATGCACACTTAGAAGAATTCATATACACTTATCATATATGTAGGTATAAATTTATTTAGCTGTTGACAAATACTTCAGTTTATTTTTGTATTATTGATCGAAGTCGGCTTATATCTCACTGCGTTTTCTTTATTATTTTTAGAATCAACATACGTTTTTAGGTTTTTTATTTCTTTGTAACGGGTAATCTTTTTTAATTTAGTCTCAAACTTTCATTCTTTTTTATGTCTTAAAATTGTTATTTTTCACTTTTTTTATATTTTTCTGTTTTCTTTTTATTTCTAGAAAATCGGGTATTAATTTTTATCGCTTTATTTATTTTTGGTTTATTTTTACAGCTTTTCTATCTATTGCTAAACCCTTCATTTTACTCTTTGCTTTTTAATGGCTTATACAATCGTTTATTTGTTCTTTCTTTCTCTTCTTTCTTTCTTTCTTTATTTATTTTCTTCCTTTCTTTTCTTCCCTTCGAAGCATTCAATTTAAATCATTTTTTTAAAAAAAAATGTTCTTTGGTTTTAATGTTTCTTTCTTTCTTTTTTGTCTTTCTATCTTTCTTTCTCTTTTTTCATTATTTATTTTCTTCACTTCGGAGCATTAACTTAATCTCATTTCTTTGAAACGTTCTTTATCTTCAATCTTTCTTCCTCTCTTTATTTTTATTTATTTTCTTTCTTTTTCATTTTTCTTTTCTTTTTCATTTTTCTTTCTTTCTTTCTCTGATATGATTCTTGCTCTTTTACGTTCTCTTCTTTCCTTCTTCCTTTCCTTCTTTCTCCTTGAAACATTCACTTCCTCTATCTTCTTTCTTTCATACATTGTTTATCTTTAGTCTTTCTTTCTATCTTGCTTCTGTTTTATATTCTTTCTGCCTTTCTACACCTTATTTCGCCACAACTGACATATTGTGCCATTACATTTCTTTCCAAAATCAATTCGTTTCTTTCTTTCTTTCTTTCTTTCTTTCTTTCTTTCTTTCTTCTCATATGACCTTCTTTAGTAATTTTTCCTCCTTGGCAGCGGTGGGAAAATGATTAAAGCTGAGATGCCAGGTCAAGGTGAACAATATTGCAGAAAATCGACATTTCACATCATCTCACAAGTATCTTGTGCCACGGAGCCTTTCAGCAGGATAAAGCGTTTTCGTATATCCTAAGAATTTTTAATGTTTAAAAATACAGATGAGAAAAGAACGTTTTTTAACATAGACTATTTGCAAAAAATGAAGTCAAACTTAATGACTAAAATGCAGCTGTTGGCTATTCCGCTACAACTGACACATTGTACAGTCAAATTTCTTTTCTAAATCGATTTCTTTCTTTCTTTCTTTTCGACTGCCTTGTTGCTTTTTCAGCTATAATTTATTTGTTTATGAATAATCTTAAAGGAGGAAAGGACAAATATTGATCTGTTCTTTCCTCCTCATTCATTTTTTTAAAATTTTCGCTAATACACATTATGTAACGCATTATGTTGCCCAGTAAAATTATCACCCGACGACCACGAGTGCACAGCCTGCTTCTTTTGAACAGACAATGCAATCCACTCTCATTTTTGTAACGATATCTATTGTTACTTTTTATTTATCAAACGATCTCAAAGGAATATGGACGCGCAAAATGTGCAATATTTCTAATCTTTGGCTCTTCAAAATTGTTCCATCCTGCGTTTAAATTTTGTCAAACTTGTTAATTGTAATGCTTTTCTATCTTTTTGTTGTCTTCGGGATTTGCGGTTTCGCGTTGTCTTTGAAGTTTTCAATGAATCCTTTCTCTCATACAAATACCTCCATTTGGGTTTCTTTGTCTTTCAACATGGTCTTAGGTCTCTTCTCAACACTGTATGCAACACACAGAATACGCTGACTCCATTCCTTGCAAACTGATAATGTTAATATTAGCCGTTTCTTTACAAGGAAACATTTGGCATTCATTGACTGAGCAGCCAGTGCTACTATTCGATTGAAATTTATAAAATCTTTGTATTAAAACACATTTATCAGGAAAATCGATCTCCCATTTCCAGTAACTGTTAACGATCTTTCAAGTATCGATGGATGTTTTCTTTCTAACCTTTTATTTGAACTAGTGTGGAACCTCGAAATCTTGATTATGCTATTTTTTTCTCCAAAACCCATCTTGCATATTTATAAACCTATCATTCATCCGTGCATTGAATATTGCTGCCATATCTGTTCTGGTGTTTCTGCTATTTATCTTGAAATTCTTGACAATATTCAAAGAAGGGTCTGTAATTGAATCGATTCTAACCTGGCATCTCGACTTCAGTTACTTTCTCACCAACATGACGTGGCTTCCTTCTGTATCTTCTACAAATATTTTCATCACAGTTGTTATTTTTTCCTCGAATCACATACATTACTATTTTGATATATTTTCTGTTTATATTTTCTGTTATTTTTAGAGATACAAATTGTTATGGGACCTTACCCATAATAACATAATGGACTATTCCATACGTAATAAATACTGCGTCTCAAGAGCGTTCAGTCCGAAGTCGGGCGACCGGCTGATCGGTTGAAATCTCTGCCTTCTTCAAGCAGGGAGGAATCGAACGAGGGCTACGCTGAAGGGTGGAGTCCCTTTCGGGGAGGCAAACCGACCCTGAACCCGTTTATACGAGTTCAAAGGGCCTATTTTTGGCTGAGCCCACGGGCTCGGAGATCCCACGTTAAACCGGCCTTGTGCCACATGATGCCCACGTGGGTGGGGGGTGACTAAATAAATACCGTTCTGTCCGAAGTCGGGCGACCGGCTGACCGGCTGATCGGTTGAACTCTCAGCCTTCGGGCGGGGAGGAATCCGAACGAGGCTACGCCTAAGGGTGGAGTCTCTTTCGGGGAGGTAAACCGACCCTGAACCCGTTTATACGAGTTCAAAGGGCCTATTTTTGGCCGAGCCCACGGGCTCGGAGATCCCACGTTAAACCGGCCTTGTGCCACATGATGCCCTCGTGGGGGGTGACTAAATACTGTTCCGTCTGAAGTCTGGAATGAAGTCTGGAGTGAAGTCCGTCTGGAGTGAAGTCCGTCAGGAGTCAGTCAGTCAGTCAGAGCGAGTCAGTCAGTCGAGTCAGAGGCAGTCCGAAACAGAGTCGCGTTCAGACAATTACTACTAAACCTGCTTGTTCGTACTAACACTTTCTACTTCTCTGTATATATTCCTGTTTGTAATATATCTGTGTTATTCCATGTACGTGTTCGAGTTCTTCTTTATTGGTTCTACTTTGGACTATCACCGTGATACAAGGAACCGGACCATAACACAAATATTTAAGTAAATACTCTGTTTATAATAAATAGTATTAATAACATTTACCTGCTTGAATACCCTAGAAATTTCGGGACCGTCATATAACCTGTATTAGAAGAAGCGTTTGGTTAGCAAGGTCGAATTACTGCTTTTAAACTACAGATTTTCGATGATTTCTCCCGAACGCTCATATCTGCTCGAAGTATCTTAACGTAAACATAATATATTATGAAACGGACTAATTCCGACAATTATTTTAATATATTTTCTGTTTATATTTACTATACATTTTAGTTGTTGTCGTTGTTGAAAGTCTTCAAGTGATGTCGTTTCTGTTATTTGGTACAATTCTTTGTGATTCTGTATCTTGGTGCCACTATTGCATGAATTTAAGCATGCTACTAGAATTTAAGCATGCTACTAGAATGGCAAATAGGTCTCATCGTTTAACTGTTGAACGAGCTAGACACAACCGTATGCTCAATTCTAATAGTTTCTTTTATCGAACTTCTCACCGGTAGAATTTCCGATTCCTTGCCTCCTATATCCATCAAAAATTTAAATGCAGTCTTTTGTCTTCCTGAAGCCTGTTCTTTTATTGTCCTTTCTCATTGTTTTCTACTCCCTGTAAAACCTTCCGTCTTAGTGGCATTATCGCCTTACTTGGGGTGAAACGATTAAAAAAATAATTATTTCCTTTTCGAATTACATACATTACTATACATTATAGCATTTATTGAAAGTCCTCAAGTGTTGTTTCTGTTATTTCGCACTATTCTTTGTTTGTGATTCTGCAGCGCCAGTCCACAAAGTTTGAAGAAAGATGGTCCTCACTAAGACCTACAGTTTTCATTCAAAGGCATCCTTAATCATTGATCTGAGAATATTTATGAACGAGTTTGATGCCATCTATAACATCTAGCTCTAGTGTGTTTGTAATCATTCAGAACTTTTCTTTACGTTACGCCCTGTTTTTTTTATAAGTCTACTTTCTAAAAAGAAATACTCCTTTCAACATAGATATCCTTTAAAAAATTGAAGATTAAAAGAAAACTGACAGCTCAAGACCTTTAAATATTTAAAATTAATAAAATTGAACAAAATAAAATAAAAATAATTGAATTAAAATAAGCAAATAAATAAATAGAAATTCGGTGACAACATCTATTCTCTTTCGTTTATTAGGGTGTATATTACATCACTTAATGTCCTCCATAGTTTATCTTTCTTTACACAGCTAGCCTTAAGAATATTTTAAAGGCTTCTCAAATGTATAATTTGAAAACTTAACGATATTTTTCTTCCACTTTACTTCTGTATAATAAATAAAATTTACAAAATAAAATCCTCATGAGACAAAACGCGTTGGTAAAGAAATATATTCCTTATTTTTTCATTATATATATATATATATATGTGTGTGTGTGTGTGTGTGTGTGTGTGCGTGTGTGTACATATGTTATGAAGGATGAAATGATGAAAAGGAGAAATAAATACGAAATTTGATACATATGCACATACACACATGAGTACGTCCACACGCGCACACGAATACACACGTATACAAAAACATACAAAGAAAAATCAAACTAACATCGATAATAAGAGCATCCCAAATAGCGTATGAATTAATTACGTCAAATTTCGTCTAAAAATAACGAAAAATGAGAAAAACGGCAAACAATCAAAGTGGACTGAATAATTACTAAATTTAATCAGCGAAACTCTGGAGTCGGGGTGCTAAATATAACATCAATCAGATAAGTGACAAATTTTAACTGTATTAATCCTATATATATATATATATATATATATATATATATATATATATATATATATATATATATAATTATTTATTTAAAATATGATTCCAACACGCTGCATAAGAGTTCTCATGTAGCGTGTTGGAATCATGTTTTTAAATAAATAATTATATTTATGCTCTACTTTTGTATCGAGCACTATTTTTTAAAAATAATAACAAAAATACTAAAGAACTTTGGATTATTTACCTAACGAGTTCTTTCCTATTTTTAATATATTTTTCACACACACACACACGCACGCATATATATATATATATATATATATATATATGAATGTGTGTGCGTATGTTTGCCCGTTGTTTGTAATCACATATAAGCTAAAGAAATGAAACTGGAATATAGCCAAAAATTCACAAATGACTTAAGAAGATGAGTAGCGAGATGGTCAATTTGCTAGTTGTGTATTTGAATTATAATGAGTTCAATCCTTACCTCTGGTTCCAAATTGTCAACATTTGCTCCGATTAGGCCTCGATTTCACGTACACACATAGAAACACATAGAAACAGAGAAAGAGAAAGTGAATCGATAAAGAAAGAACAGAGAAATCGCTTAGAGAGAACAACTCTTGACAAAAGCGATTAGTTATAGTAGCCATTAGCTTAGAAAGACACACGGGATTGTGTGTGTCTTGAAGACGCACCTCCACGTTGCAACAATCACAGATTTGAGTAGAGAAAGCTAAGAAGAAGTAGAAGCCATATAATATATTGAAGATACCGGGCTAGTAATACGCTCTTTCTTCTTGTGATGCATTTGCTGGAATTTCCACAAATGAAAGTGTCGAGCGAAATACTTGCCACAGATAGAAGCAATAACGTCCATACATAGAATGGATAAATAATAAAGACGTAAGTCATCCGAAAAACAAATATATCTCTGTGTTCATAGTAAATTAATTTTCTTTTCATCTCATATATAAAG